CACCTCATAACCCGTGTCAAGGAGATGCCTGGCGATGGCACTATTTAAAGCATTTGTTCCCTTTGGAAATAAGCTTTTTGGTATATGCTCAGAAAATCGTAGATATGCCAACGAAATAAATGATTGTTACCATTTTATTCTGCAAAAGCTGTTGTTCTTTAATAATTGTTGTTGTTTGAAGTCAGTTACCAGGGTCATGTTCGTCATGTACCTGGCTATAAGACACACTTATAGTGTCAAGTCTGATGATGCTGCCCAGATGCCTAGACTAAAGTAGCTTAGGTGGGATTCGACTCCGGCACTCCAGCCGACTGCTTCATCCAGATAAATAGAATTCAGATGAGGAGTTATAGTTACGTATCACTCACTCATTCATAGAACAGCTATTAGCAGAAACTCTCGATTATTACAGTGAAATGAAAACCACTTACTGCTTAGTCTTGTATTTGAGCAAATAAATCATAAAGTGTGTAATTCCAAGGCCTTTACTTTGAATTCTGCTACTATCCAAGTTTTCTTTTCACCTTCAATCTGTATAGCCGAGGTTATCCCATACAATCCCATAAACCATATATCCAATTATATTTACCACTTCTCTCTAGTCTTCTTTTTTTCCACATTGTATTCAATAAGCTACTTGTAAAAATCGTGGAAAATGCCAATCAAGACATTAGAGAGAAAAGAGGAAGTTCAGAAAAGATATCTTTTTGACAATTTCATTCTCAAAAGCTTGTACTACCACATTCATATACATCAGTGCAAACATACATACAACCGTTATTTAATTCCACATCATATCCAAGTCGATTAAAGGAGATAATAATTTTCAACTGGATATGAAACTTCGAGGGTGTGAATATACATTACACAAGGGACTTAGATACAAAGTTAGAAAAAGGATTAGAAAATAGTTTTTTTCTAACGAATACAGGTGTGAATGGGATGAGCATGGAAACAAATTGAAATAATACAGCTTCTTTATAACTAACAATGAAGGGAATGGAAGAAAAAAGAAAACTAGGGTGTCAAACAGAATTAGAATCATGATAAATGTAGAGGTTGGACTAGTTTCTTTTGAACACATAGCTCCGGTTTTTCGATGTATATGGAGAAGGCTTCTGTAGTACAAAGAAGTCGGAAACGTCGTATCGAAACGTGTTAATAATAACAACAATAATAAAGCTTTATTTCAGACAGTATGTGAACATATATACTACAGAAATTTTCAGCCTATTTGATTCCAAAATATTTCCTCCTCATACAGGATTTACATGCACAGTAATAATCTAAAGTATATCGTGTAACATAGCTTTGTTGCATATAAAGAGAGAACCAATTCCGTACACTTCTCCTTCATTTCCTCCAAGAATCGCACAACGTTTAGTGGGAAGCTAGTTAAATAGGTGCGTGAGTTCATGTAGTGATCATTTGATATAATTGCACGATTAAAACAATAAGAAATACAGAACAGTTTAAGCATTTTGATGAATGGGAGTTCTGGTAGCCCAGTGATATAAGCAGGCCACCGTGAGAGAGAGAGAGAGAAAGAACATTAAACAGCATGGCTGCGAAAAAGGGGTACTGGTTCAATCAGGAGCATCATAATTGAACACCTTATCGACAGCACGTGTCACAGTATCTCAACTAACTCATCATTCCAGAGTGATCTGCAAAGTAAACAAAAATCGGCAAAGTTCAACAATAGCATCCTAGGAGTACGAACGCTCCAATGACCTTGAACGCATGCTAGTCGTTGGCTAACGGCACCTGTCATTATCATAGCTGAAATATCAACGCTATTCACCAACTAAGAAGCGAATTTCACCCAGATCACGTTTTTAAGTACTGTTTGAACAATGTGTTAATAGCTCGTTAGGGTTAGGATCAGGGTCATAATAAGAATTAGGATTAGGTGTACGGTTGTGATAAGGGTTGTAATTAGGGTTGGTGTTAAGTGTAGGGTTAGGATTAAGGTTTAGGGTTACGATTAGGGATAGATTTAGAGTTGATGTCATTTATTTTTATTTGTTTTATTATTTACATTTTCCTGGTAAGTGGTCGTCAATCCTCTTACTGGAAACCATAGTAATTCAACCGAAGGCTTTTGGGGAAGACTGCACAACAGGATAAGAGAGATAAACAATTCACAAAAACAGCTCATCTTTAGTCACCTCGGTGAATACATGTAGAGAAACTAGTCTAACTTAGAAACTGATACTCCTCATAATAACTGGGACGTATTTTTAAGTCATATCAGAGAAAGATACCCTTTTTAATGTGTTTTCATGCATTTTCTTGTAAATATACATCATTTTTTGTGCAAAATTCCTCATTTTTATGATTGGTCGACTTAAGGTCACTCGTGCATTCGCATCACTTGGGACGCTATTGTTGAACTTTGCCCAAAAATCTACCAAAGATAGTGTATTTCCGACTTCTTTGTACTACAGAAGCCTTCTCCATATACATCGAAAAACCGGAGCTATGTGTTCAAAAGAAACTAGTCCAACCTCTACATTTATCATGATTCTAATTCTGTTTGACACCCTAGTTTTCTTTTTTTTCCATTCCCTTCATTGTTAGTTATAAAGAAGCTGTATTATTTCAATTTGTTTCCATGCTCATCCCATTCACACCTGTATTCGTTAGAAAAAAAACTATTTTCTAATCCTTTTTCTAACTTTGTATCTAAGTCCCTTGTGTAATCTATATTCACACCGTCGAAGTTTCATATCAAGTTGTTAAATTTATTATCTCCTTTAATCGACTTGGATATTATGTGGAATTAAATAGTGATTGTATGTATGTTTGCACTGGTGTATATGAATGTGATAGTACAAGCTTTTGAGAATGAAATTGTCGAAAAGATATCTTTTCTGAACTTCCTCTTTTCTCACTTATACGAATGATTTATGAAAGCCGACTTGCATCATATTTAATGCATTCACTAGTTTGTAGTTAATAAATTTCTTTATTCCTTTACTTTCCCAGTGGAACATAGGGCTTCAAGCTAGGGCTTTGAAGTTCCGGTAGCAGTGGTTGCTAGCCTCATACCCAACCTCCCCTCTTTACTAGTCTTATTACTGGCTTAGCGAGGTAAAGGAGTGCGTCGGCGGTCGGGGATCGAACCCCGGACCACATGCGTGCGTGGTTGGCGTGCATTCTATCGCTGTGCCACCGACGCAAACGTGTGTTCGAAGTGGGATACGAACCCACGCTCACATCGTGTGGACCAGATATATGGCGCAGATGTTCCCATAATTAAGTCGGCTTTTATGTTTTTAACTATTAATTTTGTTGTATAGCGTTTATTGATATTCTTTGTGACTATATATATATATATATACATATATATATATTTATATATATATACATATGGATTTAAGTGTTTATTGCAGTGTGATCGACTGGCTTGTATATAGGCTTTTGAAAAGTGGAATCCTCTCTCTGCTCTCTCTGTAATACTTCAGTTAACAGACCACTATTAATCACCACACTCTGTGCATTATTATTTACTAATGTGTATTTATGTAAGTGATTGTATTCTGTGTCTTTCTGTCTATATACCTGAAGAATAACAGAATGTGAACAACATCGCATGATTTCAATGAACTGAAGATTTGTTATTGTCTTAAATATAACATCAACTAATCTGTGTATTATTACATATCTCACCTTTCAGACACTGTGACGTTAACTCTATTAACAGACACAATGGGAAGACATTTATTTTATACGAAAAAAAAATAATTCTTTTTGAATAAATAAATGGAATAAAAATTTCTGTTTTTAAAATATCATTAGCTATTGTTAAAACTGTATGAAAATTTATTATATTTTCGTAAATATCACTGATGTTGACCAAAAACAGAAATACTCTTTTAGACAGTTTCAATAAATCATGTAGAATATTGCGTCATCTGAAGCTGCTTGTTACAATAATCTCATTGAATATTTATTTAAAAAAAATAAGGTGCTTTTCTTTGTCCTCTTTCAAAGTCCTTAGGTTCTGCCGATTGGAACATCCAGCTTCCCCATAGCACATCTCCATTTTATACTAATTTCTGCAGTCTTTTTTTAACTGGCTCCACGATTCCCCCCATAGTAATCTCATCTCCTCCTTGGATGCCCAGTTCGTTGTTCCCCATTCTAATTTCACTTGAGGGCTGGACGAGCCATGTCACTCAATGATCTCTATCTCCTCAGTATGTTTCCGATCCGTCTGCATTTTCTTCGGCGTATTTGTTGAGCAACAGGTTCTTGGTTGATTTGTTCCCAGAGTTCCGTATTGCTCATTCTTTGTAACCTAGTTTCCTAGTTCACTAGCCGGTTCTAAGCTTGAAAAAAACAGCGAAGGTTGGGTGTGGGGATATTGACCCTACCCCTGAAAATCAATACAATCATTGCAGAAACTCCAACGCACAAAATCATGCATGTAATAAACTTCAGTTTATAGGTTGTTGAAATCCTAAAACCTTTAGATATGATGGAGAAGATTTTTAGCTCAGGTGGATGATTTTGATGTGGTTGTGTTCTCTGAGCTGGATAGTTAATTTGCGAAGCTTTCATTGTCTATTTCATGACATTGTCCTACTAGGCAACATCTTCAGTACCAATACAAGTAGCCTAGAGGGTGTGAAAACACACAAAAACAACCAATCACGTTCAAGGTCACTCACCAGGAGAGAGATGACTAATAAACTCATGGAGAAATCTAAAAGCTCACTTCAATTTGAATTGAAGTATGCGCTGAAGATGTTGCCTAAGTAGGGCAATGAAAGCTTCGCAAATTAACTATCCAGCTATCAGAGAACACAAACATCAAACAAGCTTTTAAAGCTCATATCTGATACTATACTAGTTGAAGTATTAATTGCTCTTTCTTATTTGTGAATGATTTTTCATCCTCTTAATGCACAATTAATTTATCCATTGAATCGTATACTTCTAATTGTCTTCTCTAATATCGATTGTTTTATTTTTTAAATAATATTATACAGGAAGCAGAAATAATGCATTTAAAGGCAATTGAAATTAAAGAACGACTACTTGGACCAAATGATTTTGAAGTTGGCTTAAGTGTTGGTCATTTAGCTAGTCTATATAACTATGATATGGATCGATTCAAGGAAGCTGAACAATTATATCTACGTTCTGTACAAATAAGTAAGTTGAATTATTTATTTATTTTTTTGTTGTTGTTAGCCAATTAAAGTCAAGAAGTGGTGTGTTTCACTTTTGCTGGGGAGTATCGTCTCAACTACTTGGGGGGTGGGGGGGAGGCGGCATTGGGTGAGGATATCAAAGGCAAGATTGGGGAACACACAGGCGTTCATTACCCTAGAATCAGTGTGTGGAGATCTACAACACTGAACACATGGAACAAGATCTAATGTCAAGTTATCGCTTCTGTATGTTTCAGAGACTTGGAGCGTCATAGAAAGCATTTCCAATGGGCGTCTCACATAGATAAAACTAACAGGAATTGCTGCATGGATTGGTAATGTGTTTGATCGAACCTACTTCCAAATACTTCAGTCCAACATTACTAGAAAAATAAGGGTGATGGCGCTTAACATGCTTGATAATGTATTCCAATTACATCAGTCAATGAAGATTCAGTATGTCATCAGTTGGTCCACTTTCCTTACTCAACAATCTGCGTTTAGTTTAAGTGGTACTGTAACAACAGAAGACAAGGGCCAGGCAACAGATCGTTTATTTAGGAAATCCATACATATTTATAGATTTTCATGTACATTATTATAGATTATTGTTAGCAGAAAAACACAGTCTTCTGATTGGTTGTTTCTCACTGAAAGTTAATCTTTCATCTCTTTGTGGCCGTTTCTTGAATGTCAGATCATCTATATGCTAACTGTATCCGCCTACGCAAAGTCTGCTGTGGTTGGTTGTTGAATCAGTCTTTGTTCATATTTTTCTCACGACCAATATTGAGGACGTAAACATTGACGTAAATTACCATCTCCCAATTTGGCTAGCAACCAGCTCTCACCACAGTACTTTCTATCTGATTCTCTTCCACATGCTTAATGCAATGAAGATACTTATGAGATATTAGTTGGTTGGAAGCAATTGGCAGGAAGCCTTGCTCGTTCTAGGTTTTGTGCTAGTTGGCACTCACAAGTCAGCAAGGCGTATCTGTAACCTTGAAGGAACTCATGTCCCCTGCGTCACCCAGTGAGTGCCGCAGTCAGAGACGTTACTATTGAGCTATTCGGCTCCGCGACTGACCTCCTGTATGACCTTATTGAATACTTTGACTGGACACTCTAACACACTTGTCTGATAGAATTCAGTCGGCACCAAAGAAACGACTAGACACATTACAATAATTACTGGCGCCTAGTGCCGAATCGAAGATACTTATTTGTCAAAACCTGTAATCTTTTCATGTCCATCGCTTTAGATGACCATGTCTAACAATCATATAAAGTGGAAAAGAGGGAACTGCTTTACATTTCACTTGCTCTCCGATAGATATGCTTGTGCACCGTAATGGCGAGCCACCTAGCATGGTGGCCACATTGCAAGCATGACTGATAGAATTCAGTCTGCACCGAAGACAGGACTAGACACATTACACTAGTTACTGACTAGTGTGCAATCAAAAATATCCAATACAGTCCTACAGGAGGTCAGTCGCGAGCCTGAATAGCTCAGTCGTAACGTCTCTGACTGCAGGTGGCACTGGGTGACGCCGGGTTCGAATCTCAGAAGGGACATGAGTTCCTTCAAGGTTGCAGATACGCCTTTCTGACTTGTGAGTGCCAACTAGCACGAAACCTAGGTCAAGCAAGGCTTCCTGTGGCCGATTGCCTCCAACCACCTAATACCAACAAGATATGCTTGTTGAAAAAAAATTGGCATATATCAATTAGTAAGTCAGTGGTGTATATGTATCTTCAAACAAATAAGGTAGACATTGGATTAGCGTCCAGAGAGAGACTACTACTACATGCAGATTTTCATTGAGAAATTTCACACGGTTTGTTTATCACATAGTAAAATCATTTCGTGTTTTACTATTTTTGCGTAACCTAAATACACCCAAGTGTGAGAAGTGTTGTTCAGTATATATTTATATTTTCATGTTTATGTGGTGTTTATACATTTCATTGTGTTCATTCAATCATTCAATTTATTCATTATTTTTTTCATTACTTTCGATTATTATTATTATTATTATAGGTTTAAATTTATTCGGTCCTACATACAGTGGATTAGAATATGATTATCGAGGCTTACAACGTGTCTATCATGAACTAGGCAATTATACTGAAATGCAACGTTATCAAGGCCTGTTCGACTATTGGTCTAAAGAGAGACAACGTTTACGGGCTTTAGAACCAGCTGAATCTTCCGATTCCCTTGACTTCTTAGATGAACGTAATACCAGTGTAACAGAACAATCACAAATGTTAATGGAATTATTAAAAGATTATAAATATCAATTCAAGTCCATATTTGGCGGTTTATACGCCAGTAGTAGTGAAAGTGAAGAAGGTGACAGTGAACAACAGCAGGTAGTCAATACAACAAGACGTGATGCTTATCCGTTGAATTTTAATAATCCTGGAAATAGTGCTGGCGGTGTTGGTGGGGGCAGTATGGAGGCTAGTCGATCAACAGGCTATTAACATTTATATATACATACATACATCTATGTGTATATTCTTTCTTTCTTTCCACATCTACATAATAATAGTTATGGACTGTGTTATATATATAAATAGTTATAAATAAGTTTATATTCAGGTTACTTATACTTTGAAGAAAAAGAAAAACTAAATCAATTTTCAGCCACATTGTTTTAATTTTAATACACTTTCATCATTAATTATTTGACGTTTTTAAATTTCACTTTTATATATAGCAGCTGCTTTAATTTTCCTTGTTTTTTCGTGATGATATTTAGTATTTCATACTTGTATATATATATAACACACATAATTGAATTCAGTAGTATATATATAAATGCGCACATATACACACGAATATTTCCTTCTTTGTTTTCTGTTGTTTGTTTGTTTTTTGTCCGTCTATATAGTGGGAAATATTAGGCTAAAGTGAAAGATTATGCAGTCAAAAGATTATCCAGTTTTTATGAAAGTTTACTTTAAGGACAGGGTAAACAGAAGAAGAAAAAAAAGATATTTTAATTGTGCGCCGTTTTCTTTTCACAATACCCATAGTAGTTGTAGATGACTGTATTGATGATACTTTAAATAACACGGGGTTATATGATTTGTTAAAAATCTTTATTTTTTTTTAAATTTCAGCTTAAATATTCAATTGTTTTCAGTTATGAATAAGACTATTTTTCAACTGTTTACTTACTAGACACACATACTGGATCCCTGGCGGACGCACTTCCAAATCTCGCTGAGCTGGTAATAGGTCTGGCAAAGAGGGAAGATTGGACGTGAGAGACTAGTAATCCCACCCCGTAAAATCTAAACATCACTGCTACTGAAACTTCAAGCCTCTAGCTCGAATCCCTGTGTTCTACTGGGAACGCGAAGGAATAAAAGAAAAACTAGACACTGGTTTAATTTGGAAATCTTCGTCACTCAGCATCAACAACAAAATTCGGATTTTCAATACAAACGTCAAGTCAGTCAGTTCTTCTATATGGATCAGAAACTTGGCGGGTCACAAAGAATATTTCCAACAGGTTGCAGACCTTTATCAACAACTTTCTTCACTCTATACTGAAGATCAGATGGCCGGAAAGAATCATCAACAAGAAACTATGGGAACAAACAAAACAAGAACCAATCGCTCAACAAATATGCAGGAGAAAGTGGAGATGGATTGGACACTCGCTGAGGAGGCCGCTGAGTGACATCGCGCGTCAGGCCATAGCTCGAGTGGAACCCGAAAGGGAAGCGGCGAGTGGGACGTCCAAGGGTGACATGGAGGAGATTGTGTGAAGAGGAATTGAAACAGTATGGAATAACATGGATGCAGGTGAAAAGTACAGCAGAAGACAGAAGCAAGTGGAGACGTGTAGTTGAAGCCCTATGTTCCACTAGGAACCCAAAGTAACAATAATAATATAAATAGACACTGGTTTAGCGAAAAGTGATATATATATATTGTGGAGCTCTGGCTGACTGATCTAGATGCTCGACTACGAAACGGTGAGTCAGGGGTTGGAATACCAACCACTACCTGGACCATTTTATTGCCCGACGGCCTAGTGGGCAACGTTTAGGTTCGTCGGTAATTAAGTGTGGCCGACGCACTCTTAAACCTCGCTTATATGATAGTAAACTCAGTAAAGAGGGAAGGTTTCGCGTGACCCTAATCACTCCACCCCATAACAGACAATATCACTACTACTGAATCGTCAAAAATTAAGCTTGAAACTTTATGTACCATTCGAAACACTAAGGAATAAAAAAATGCATATTTTCAAGGTAGATTTCTTCATAAGCTGATCATTGCTAAAAAAAAAAACTATTTAAACATGACGCCACAGTGAGATCCTCTTTAAAATAATTCATAGGCACTTTGTTTATTAGTAATTACCATTGAAATGAATTATTTGGAATTTCAACAAAGAGTCAGTAACCGATAGGATCTATCAAATTCAATGTAGAGATAATAGTGTTATTTATTATGTGACGAATTAAGAGAAGGTGAAGATGCTAAGTGGATTGAATTCTAACCTATTATTTGAATTATAGATAAGATTTTATTTTAGTAAATCACACAGTGTTATACAGTAATATTAATATTATACCATATAAGGAGGGGACATCTGAGACCCCACATGTAGGATTCTCAATAAAGCAGGAATTAGGGTGGCATTCAAACCTACAAACTCACTCAGATAGGACAAGCTCTGTAGGCTAAAAGACCCGGTGGACTCAATTAAACAAAATAATATAATTTACAAAATACCTTGGAATGACTGTGAGTTAGGTCAAACTAGTAGGTCGGGGGTAGTTAGATTGTTGGAACATAACAATTTAGCTAAGGTAAGAATGGTCAACCCCGAGAAGATAAGTAATTTAGAAAAAAGCACAGCTCAGCACTGCATGCATTAACACACAATAGGGTGGTAAAGGGTTAAAACTCTAAGAAGTAATATAAATAGGTAGAGGGAGAGAGAGATTGATTACTGAATCCTTGTTCACTGAGTCGACACATGCAATAGAAGGGATTCAACGCAAATACCAGAGATATGGAAGATATTATTACCGCCAGTCAAATCAAAGGAGGATAATAAATTTCTATTTCAATTCACGTACATCATAACATTCTAACAAGTTACTTATTTTGACTATAAAAACACTCGTCTTATTTCCCATCTGATTGTATTTGATCAATAACACTCATATTATTTTCAAAAGAGTGGATACTGAACAAAGAGTACTCTTTTCGATAAATTCATCATCAGGTTCTACAATTATATATACATTATAGTGAATGAATGAATTAGTGTTATGAACGACATTAATGTTGTTTAAATAACATCGAATCAATAATATTGATAGATTACAGCTGAATAGCATCGATATTAGACTATCTGGTCCAAACCGGTCACAAAGCCAGCGTAGAAGAATCCTTCTCTATAATATACCGGGTGCCTAACAAATTACCTAAATCATCGAAGCACCGCATGCTCCAAACAGCAGAGACTATTGCAATTCGCCTCAAACAACCAGTGCTCTGTGTTCAAAAGAAACAAGTCCAGCCCCTACTACTGCCCTGGCCCTCAGTAGAAACTATAAACTCATGAATTTGTAATATTAGCTTTCCTAATTCTTCTGACATTCAGCTTATTTTATGTTGATGCTATTCAGCTGTAATCTATCAATATTATTGATTCGATGTTATTTAAACAACATTAATGTCGTTCATAACACTAATTCATTCATTCACTATTATGGATGGATATATAACTGTAGAACCTGATGATGAAGTTATCGAAAAGAGTACTCTTTGTTCAGTATCCACGCATATTATTCTTTCTGAATGTACATTATCCTATATTGATTTTTATTCAAATGTCTGATCAATTCCACTCATGTATATAAATGAAGTAAAAAGTTGTGTGAGTGACTTGATATGATTATGAGCAGCAATAATTTGTGCTCGAAACGTCATCAGTAAATATTACTGTATAACAACACTGTGATTTATCAAAATAAATCTTATCCATAATGAAGTTATACTCTACCACCACAGTGTCCAAGTTTTATACTGATATCTATTGTTTGAATGTTAGTGTGATCGCTTTCTAAGGTGATTGATACTCTTGGAATTAATTCCTTTTTGCAATCGTGAAGGGGAATTGGTAAGGACTTTTCAAAGTAAAAAGGAAACGACTGTTCAATACTTCTAAGAATTCTTCTCTCTTTGGTATCAATTTGTTATAATATCTGCCTTGAATTCAATCCTAACAGCGTAAATCTATGTTCAGAATTCTTTTTATCTTTCACCACAATATATACATATATGTAATGAAGGTTTTTATCAAAAGTACAAGTTATTATCAGTTTACACTTCTTTGGATGAAAAGCATATGCTTTAGTTTCTTGAAGAAAAACTAGGTCAATAGAACATTGTAAGTTGTTGTTGTTGTTGTTTTCAAGGTATTTCATGGAAAGTATACTCATCATGAAGGTGTTCTGATTGGTCACTGGAAAGGATATGTTTGTACTTTATTCTGAAAAACAAAAAAACATGTTAGATTAGTGAAAATGTCATTATAAAATTTAGTTAATCAGAAGAACGTGTATCAACAACATCTTGTACGAGAGTGAAGAGTGCAATTGACCTGAGACCATTTTTTTAATGAGTCACCCACCGTTTAAATTGTGAACTTTTATCAGATATGCTTGTAGAGGTTTAATAACGACTACTTCATCTCAATGTAATGCTTATTGGTTCAGATACAGAAAAGATATTGAGGAAGGCATTATATTTGTATGCTTAAAAACAGAATCTGCTTATTAACTACCACGACAATATTCTGCGTGATCTAGTGGCGTGTGCTACTGATAAGATTTATCAGTAGTATATAAAGAGACGTTCATCGGCATGAAAACATCAAATAGCAAGGAGATACATTTGATGTCAGAGAAGGCAAATGATTCAGCGTTGTGGAGAAACATGGGAGACGTGAAAGGAACACGAAGAAACACAATATCATGTCCAAAAGTACCACGACATGGAAGATCTGTGCAAATGGTACGTTGAAGATAAGGTGTACGTAACTTCGCTAATATAGAGATACCAATTTCCGAATAAACATTCCTTTACCAAGTATTCCTTCTTCTACTGTTTCAATCTAACTTGAAGAACTATAAAGTAACTTCATTTCTCAATAGATTTCTCCAGAAAGAGACATATGTTATATAAACATGGAAATGCGAGAATCACCAAACAGTCACTTCGTTTTAATTACAGAGCCTCCAACAGTGCGCCAGGAGAATATTGTATCCTTTAATTCTAAGGAACATAGGGTCAGCCGTCGTCCATTGCTTCCTTGTAGTTTCACCTGGCTCATTGCCATTTTTCGAGATGGCTTGTCTAGTGATGTCACTTGATGGTTTCCTCAGAGTATGGCCAATCCATCTCTTTTTGCTATTTTCACATCGTCTGTTGTCGCTCAGAGATCCCTTTGCTGATCTTTTCTGGCCATCTGATCTTGAGTATTGAGCGAAGACAACTAGCTGTTAATGAAGGTCTGTAGTTTGTTTGAGATGCTCTTTATGACGCGCAGTGCAAGTCTCTGATCCGTATAGTAGCACTGACTGACTTCACATTGGAGTTGGAAATCCGGATCTTATTTTTGATGCTGAGTGTGTTGACTCCACACAACAACCAGGAGAATATCAGGTTTTTTAGACTGATTGCGTTGCTTTTTGACCAAAGGGCTGGATTCTTTATGACCCGTGGCGCTATTTGTGGACAACTATCCTTGCACTCCAATGGCCATGACTTCTCATTGTAAATTTCGAAGTCTATGTCAGAGTCAGTATGCTTTAGATTGATATACAGTTTTGATAAAACAGAACAGTTGAAATTTCAATATGATACAATGCCTATCTTCATGAGATTCATATTTAGTAATTGTGTAGGTTAAAATAAGCGAGTTGTCAAATGTAGGCCTTTTTTTGTTTTTCTGGGTAAAGGATGTTTTGAGC